TTTTAAGTTCAATGATATCATTACTTCTTTAAGTATTAAGAAAAACACCATTATTGGTGTATATATATCTTAAAGTTAGTGGGAGTAAGGTTTTTAACTCTATATGTTGATATTGTGTTGTTTGTCACTAGTAATTTTAGAGTATTACATGAAACTAAGTTTCTCTCTATAAATATTTATTGAAAGATATGGTGAGACAACCTATGTGATTGTAATTTAAATGTCCCAAGATCGATTAGAGAGATTGTTTGGGTTGTCTCATAAAGTATATATAGAAAAAATTCTAGAGAGATTTAATATGGAGAATTGTTTAGCTAATGTTGCTTCAATAAAGTAAAAGAGATTAGTTCAGCAATATGTAATGTTCAAATAATTAAATGTATTCCTTATGTTTCTAATGCATGATGTTTTATGCATGCATTTATGTGTATAAAGTCAGATACTATTCTTGCAGTTGATGTATTATGTAAATACCGAACCGATCCTGAAATGGATCATTATGAGCTTACAAGATATTTACAAGATATGAATGATTACATGTTCACATTTAAGAAGTCTAATTATCTAGTGGTGATAGACAATTATGAAAGTTAAAATTATGGCTTGCTTTGAGGCTACAATTTATGAATTATGGATGCAAAATTCAAATCTTAAGACTTGGAATTGTCGACTTTATAGCCTAGCCGCTGGAAACTTATTGTGATAATTTTGCATATGTGTTTTTTGATAAGTGTCTATAAAGCAAAATAGCATGAAGCTCATGATTGCAAATTCATTAAAGAAAATGCTACTAAAGACATTTACAGATGTTAACATAACGAGTTTTAAATGTAGCTCATGGTGGTTGTTCACTTAATGTTATGGATTTTGTATAATGCTTATTTATTTGACACTTTCAGTTCTTATTCAAACTGTTTACGATATTTCTTATTTTTCAGAATGTACGCACATGTATAAGATTGATTGAATGATAACAAAAATAACTTTCGGCACAAGGCATTATTGTTGGACCTTAAAATATATATACTTCTCAATTATAGATCGCGGTAGATAGGTTGCTAGTATTATGGTATATAGAAGAGACTATATCGCGTTAATGATGTACAATCGCCATGACTCGCATTAGTGGGTTGTTTAATTGTGATATTATGATAATCAAATTAAGGTAGTGATAAATTAAATTTATTGCGCGTTTATGTAAATCTTACTAGATCCAACTGTAACATAATCATATGGACCACGTGGGAGAATGTAAGAGACAATGTGGCCCACTTGATTTGGTACATGTGATTTTATTGATTATTATTGGATAATTAATTTAGGTTAGATAATGATAAAATTATCAATCCTAATCTAATCAGTATAATTAATGATTTTTGATTGGTCAATAAGAAGAAGTGGTTTCCTAATATCCTACTTTGATGGGAAGTAGAATTTATGTTGAACTAGAGAACCGGTCATTTCTTTACCTATAAATATACACATGTCCCATCGAAATGTGTATCCTAAGAATATAGGTTATGAGAGATAAAATTGAGTTTTGGGTTACGCCAAAGGATAGTTTAATTCTTGATCAAGTAATTCAAGGTTTGTAATAATGACTCCAGGTATGTTGATTATGATATTTTTAATTCTACATTATGATTATTATGAGTATGTGAAAATCATGATTGCTCTAGATCTTGGAATTAAGGTTTGATTGATCTCTTTGATCAAATAAAGTTTTACAATATTGGCTAAAGATAAAATGTCTCTTCTATTTAATACATTTTATTTAAATTTTAATCAACTTCTCATTGAATAGAAGATGATTTGTTTTCAAAAAATAATTTTTCAAAATTTATGTCAAGAACTAAAAATATTAGCAAGAACGTAATTGAACTCTTATAACAACTAATGAAGGAAAACTGATAGAAATAAGGGTATAATAAACAAAATGAGATAATAAAAATAAACGGTTGATTTGTGCATAAATATCAAATTCAGAATCATACTCTATTCACATAGAATATCAGTTCTAAAGGCTTCAATAGATCTATTAATTCCTATGAATACCAGAAGAATTGAGAAAAAAAAACTTATTCAATATTATTAATTCATCAAAATTATTTTGCCCCAAGTCTTACCTGCCTTTATATAATAACAAAAGTCCTAAAAATAACTAGGAAACTAAAATTATAATTAAATTAGGAAATCGAATAAAATGAATTAACTAGAAGATTAAATTAAAATAATTTTTAATCAAATTAAGAAATAAAATAAAACTCTCTTAAATTTTTTTAATTAAACGACATTGATCGCATTCAAATAAAATACTAAAATATTTATTGTTTATTTTACATCATTCGAATGAGTTTTCTTCGTGATCATTGTTGGCTTGGTATGGTTCAAGGCTACCCATTAAAGCTTTTGCTCTCTCATCTATTCATGGCACAAGTTGAAGACAGTATCACAGTGGAGGGTTTTTACACATTGTTCCCACTCGTTGCTCCTCAACATTTTTGCCAAATGGGTGCCTCTTTGTACTCTTTTCCTGGAGATAAAAGTGCACTCAAATTATTTGATGTGGTTGAAGCTAATTTTTGGGTTTTGAGAAAGAAAGTGCTAATATTTTGGATTGGTTGGAGTCCTAAATTCAAACAAAGATTAAAGTGTTGAACCTA